ATTGATTTCTGTTCAAATCTTTATTATTTCCTTTCTTCTGGTGACTATAGGCTTTTCTTGCTGTTCTTTTTCTAATTCTTGGAGAAGTTGGTTTAAGGTGTTGATTTTGGCTCTTCTTTTTTGATGTGTACATTTATTACTATAAATTGGCCTCTGAACACTGCTTTTGCTGTGTCCCAAAGATTTTGGTATATTGTATTTTCATTCTCATTTGAGTCAAGGAATTTTTTAATTTAAATTTTTACTTCTTCTCTTACCCTGTCTTTCTCAAAGTGGGTGTTGTTCAGTTTCCATGTGTTTACTCTTTCTCCGTTGATCTTCCTATTGTTGATTTCTAGTTTGATAGCACTGTGATCTGAGAAGATGCTTTGCAGTATTTCAATGTTTTTAAATTTATGAAGGCTTGGTTTATGGCCTTTACATATGGTCTCTCATGAAAATGTTCCATGTGCAGTGGAAAATAATGTATATTGTGCTGTTGTTGGGTGAAATGCTCTGTAGATGTCTATAAGTTCAAATTGGTGGATTGTATTGTTCAGCTCTTCTGCATCTTTGTTGAGTTTCTTTTCAGTTATTCTCTCTTTGATTGCAAGTGGTGTATTAAAGTCTCCCATTATGACTGTGGAGTCATCTATTTGCCTTTCAACTCTTTTAAAGTGTGATTTATATATTTTGGGGCTCTTTCACTGGATCCATAGATATTTATTATGGTTATATCTTCATGTTCAATTGATCCTTTAATCATATAATATCCTTCCTTGTCTCGTATGGTGGTTTTTGTCTTAAAGTCAATTTGATCAGAAATTAATATTGCCACTCCTGTTCTTTTACGGTTGTTATTTGCTTGATATATCTTATTCCAGCCTTTGATTTTTAGTCTATTTTTGTCTTTCAGGTATGTCTCTTGTAGGCAGCATAATGATGGGTTTTGTTTTCTTATCCAATCTGCAACTCTCCATCTCTTGAGTAGGGCATTTAATCCATTAACATTCAGTGTAATTATTGACAAGTCTGAATTGGTTGCTGTTATTTTGTTATATGTTTTTTCATGGTGTCCCTGCTTTCTTTCTTCCATATTATTTTCTGTGCTGAGCTCATTATGTTTATGAATCGTGTTATCTCATTTCCTTTGTTGCTTTTGTTTTAGTATTTGCTGAATATTTGTGCTTGTCCTGTTTTTATTTGTGATATGAAGGTTTATCATTTTTCTTTGAGGTTACCCTACGATTTATAATTTTCTCCCCGAGTTTAGGACAGTCCATTGTATCTTGCAGTCTCTTGACTTCCTCACCATTAAGAAGTTCTGTAACGACACAGCATTTTCCCTCTTTTTGTTCATAGTTGTTCTCACTTGCCAATTGATGTCTTTGGTTCCCTGTTCACAATCTTGTAAGCTCATTTTAACTTTGGATATGTCCATGTGGTTTCTGGGTGTTGTCATCTTGTGTATTAATGGT